CAATTATGTGGAGTTTGGTGTCGGGATCTGTTGCTATCAGTTCATTGTTATTTACTATCTCTGGATATTTTTGAATTAAGTGATTACTAAGTTGACTATTGTCTATTGGTATTTTTAGTGTGTTAATATTAATGTCAGTATGCGGTCTGAGTATTCTATTAATTTTGGGAAAGAATTCCTGTGGGTTTTTGTAATTTATTGCTTTGATCTGTGATGCCCAATAAGTTGTGACTGTTTTCCTAAATTCCTTGTGTATCAGCTTGTTGATTCTTTTGATTGTTGTTTTAATCCTACTTTTTTCTTGATGACTTATGGCTATATTGTCAAATTGTCTACTTATGAGGAACGATTTATATGCATGGAGACGTTTGATGTTCTTATTGTCATATTTGATGAAATAATCGTCTCTTTTTTTTATTTTTGGCACTGTTGTTTTTATTGTTTTGTAGATTTTTTCTTCGAGTGTGTCAATGTAAGTATCAATTTCCTCTATTGATAGGTTTCTGTCGTATGGTATATTTATATCCTCAGAGTATGACCTCAGTAGGTGTTTGTTAAATTTCCGCCAATTCGCCTTTTTATAGTTGAAAGAGGCTGGATGATCAGCCAGGTTTTCCGCGATATTGGGTGCGCACTCGTTGGTATTGATAGTCAGGGTGATGGCTAAGTGGTCACTGTCAAAAGGTAGTGTCTTAAGTTTTCCGTTGACCAGGTCATCGACGTCTATCCTCATGTCTATTATACAGTGGTCTAAATAGGAGTTGGCTTTTGGATAAGTTGGTTTTTCGGGAGATAGGAGCGCTATTTTGAACTCTAGGTAGTTGTTATTAATCCATTCAATAAACTTGTCACCTCGATCGTTTGATTTCGCATCTCCCCAGGTAATACTTTTGGCGTTTATATCTCCGGCGATTATGTAGTAGTTTTTACTATCATCCAGTTTGAACTCGACCATCAGCTTATGGAATTCATTGGTGAATGTATGCCTGGTGTCTTGCGTCGCATATATGCTGATAATTATGAGATTTGCCTTGGAATTGGTTTTGATCTTGATGGCTGTGAATTCTAATACCTTATTTTTGGCTGAGTTAGGATAGTGAATAGTTGAGTACTTGTATTTACTATGTATCGCAATGGCAGTGCCTCCGCCTTTTGATGAATTTGGTCTGTCCGTTCTGATAACCTGGTGATTATTTAGCTGTATTTTGTGCTTTGCGTTAAGTTTGGTTTCAGATATTAAACAGATGTCTAATTTGTGCTGATCAATGAATTTTTGTAAGTCATACCGTTTTTTTAGGGTGCTTATTGAGTTAGCGTTTATTGCCGCAATTTTGAGTTTTTCTGGAGCCATTATACCGTCGTGTAGATATCAGCCATTAGCCGGTCGATTCTGTTTGAGTTGTTATCTATTTTTGAGTTGAGTTGTTGTAATTCTTTAAGTATTTCTGATTTAAATGAGTTTAACAGGTTTTCAATATTACCCATGCTATGATCCAGAGTATTTACTTGAGGTGGTGGTTGTATCGTTGATGGTTCTTCAAATGGCCAGTTATAGCTAGGTGCTGATGTTTTGTTCCTGGGTAGTGGTGGATAGTAGTTATTATTATGCATTGTTTCTACTTTGTTCGCGTATGTCAGTCCAGGCTTTACGTAGTTATTAATTGCCTGAGTGATTTTCCTTTTCTTCATAATATTTTGTTGTTTATCTGCTTTTCTTGCATCTGCAATTAATTTAAGCGCTGGGCATCCTCTGTAGCTTGCTGGGTGTCCTGTTTCATTGCAGTTGATGCATTTGAGTGTGCTTCTGTCTTGTGTAGTTTGGAAATGGCAATCTTTCGATTCATGATCACCTGCACATTTCACGCAGACTGGCGCTAAGTGGCAGTTTGAGCTGGAATGTCCTGTTTGTTGGCACCTTTTGCACATAAAAATTATTGGTTTTCTTAGCCTCTCCCACCTAATTGGCTGGGAGAGTAGTCTTTTAGTTCTAGTCATTGGAGCAGTTTGACTATCATGAGTAACCGACACTATAAAGTGGTATAAGTTAGGCTTGTTCTTGTCGAAAATCATTTTACTTACTTTGGTGATTCTGACCTCATTTAGTTTTAGGTCTTCAAGAGCCTCCTTAACGTCATTTTCGTCGTATCCACCCCTGATACCTTTTAAGACTATTGTTTTGATTTTTAGCTGCCTAGGTGTATATGTAAATAATTTCCTGTTACTGGTTTTCCTTAACGTCATTTTCGTCGTATCCACCCCTGATACCTTTTAAGACTATTGTTTTGATTTTTAGCTGCCTAGGTGTATATGTAAAGAATTTCCTGTTACTGGTTTTCATTGCTGCTATAATACTGTTATAGATCTCAATACTCCCTGGGTAGATTCTAGTGAATTTGTCATCAAATTCTCTTACTATGAAGTCCGCAGGCGATATGTTCATGGACTTGAGGTATTCTATCGTTGGTTTAATTCCAACCATTTGTATGAATATTGGAGGTGCTCGGATCTTGGATGATGGTTTTGGCGCTGTTTGTTCCATATTTATTTTTGGTGGTGACGTTTGTTTACCTTTTGGGTTTCTTTTCTTTCCGTTGGCGCTTACGTCGGTTTCTGTTTCCTCGCTGTCTGTTAGTACTGC